AATTTTTCAAACATTGAACTTAGTGCTTAATATCAGAGTAATTGTTAATGCTCTTGAGGTGACAGTGAAACGAATAATAATTAGTGAATGTAGCACAGAAATAACAAAAAGCATTTGCGCAATGAAATTAGGAGAATAATCAAGAAAATTTGTGCCTGCTGATTTAGTCTATGAATGTCAGATGTAGTGTAGTTTTTTGCCACTACGATTGCAGTTCCAAGCAAGTAGCTAGGCGAATATGTGAGCAACCTCAGTCTAACATGTACTTAACAATTAATAAAACAGAGATGAGATAAACAGAGATGAAACAGTGTTAAGACATTTAAGTGAAAAATTACAGAAAATCTAACGAGTCAGAAAAAAATAGTGAACAAAACGTTTCTTTAGCGTAGAACACTTTTACATGTGCAATAATGATGAGACATTATAAAGTCCTTCACTGCCTTTGCAGCTTGACTTCTCAGGAAGGTATCTCAAGAGAACTAGGATGAAAAAGCAAAAAATTCTACGAGAGTGTGAGAAAACTAACGACGTGATACACAAATACTGTATATCAAAATAGTAGAAGCACATATGTCACTTTCCTTTAAGTCACCAGCATGCAATAAACCACACCAGAAATGGCACTCTTGCATTTTGACGGCCCCAGCGCACTGACTAGTTGATTGCGTCTTGGTGGAAAAGTTGGAGAAGGGGACAATGAAGGGGGCAGCAGCAAAAGAGAAGGGGACAGAGGCAAAGGGAAGGGGGCAGCAGCAACGTGGAGGGGAGAACGACAAAGAGGAAGGGGACAGTAACAAGAGGCGGCGGCGGAGCTTTTTTGCTTATTTATATGTATGTTACAAAAATCGCGCTATGAGTGCGGCATAGTGTGGTGGCAATACTACACCTTTTCGTGATGTCAGCTCCGGTTTTGAATCCGTAAACTGTGCAATGTAGTCTTGCACAGTCAAACTTTCTGTATGACTTTGAGACTGAAAACTAAGATTTAATATAGTTCATTCTATACTAATCTTGCTCTCAAGCGAGGATATATTCTGTCTTATAAGTGGAGATTACCGAAGATAACATCAATTTCAAAAAAAATTGCTAGTTATAGATGCTCTTATTTCTCTAAATTGTAGGGCGCTCAATTAAAGGTTCGCGCTTCTAGACAACGACTTTCAGAGGTTGATAGCCTCTCTTCAGTTGTTATTCCTGGTACGCGTTTGTTCCTGCGGCTGGGAGTATGACTCTATGCACAGAGGGGTAAGGGTAATAAGTACTTCAGGTGCAAAAGGTAGGAATGCTGCAAAAAAACTTGGTTTCTACAGCGGCACATTTTTTTGAAAAAACCAGCTTGAGCTTAAAGAATGTCTTTTGCTTCTCTTCATATTGGCCAAACATCGAAGGCTCACGTATGAAGACATAACAGCTGAAATGGTTCTTGAAACGGGGAGCAAACTCAGCTCCCACACTTTAGTAGTTTATATGAACTGTTTCAGAAATGTCTGCACGGAGCATTTCAGGAGGCATTCTTCAAGAATAGGGGGTCCTGGTAAGCTAGCGGAGATTGACAAGACGCTTCTTACCAAGAGAAAGTACAATAGGGGTAGGGTGGTAGAAAAACAGTGGTGTTTTGGGGGCATAGAGCAAAGGACCAATAAGTGTTTCGTCGTTCCAGTCGGACGACGAAATGCTGCTACCCTTCTCCCACTGATCAGGTGGTATGTTGTTCTAGGAACGACTATAGTGTCTGACTAGTGGGCAGCATACAGCACTATGAAAGAAATGCCGGAGGG